CATTGGACTATCACATACGGATGTATATAGACATATTTTAGAGTGTAGATTCACTCATTTTGCTCTGTATGTAGTCACTTGTTGAAATCTCTAGAAAGACAAATATTTAGGAACGGAGGGAGTAACATTCGGACACTCACCATTTTAGCATGCCCGGTTAGAGCATCTACGGTGGGGCGCCTCAAACCCGCTTCATACGCCCGGGCGGACCGCCCGGTCACTGTCCGATCACAATTTTTTGACCTAGACGGCCCCTCTCAAACAACCCTCAAATGCCCGGGCTGACCGGCACCCCTCACATCCAGCCCAATAAGGGCGGATATGGGGGCGCCTGGGTGCGCCCGCCACGTCGGATCCGGCCCACGCTGGCCGACCCGACCTCACATAAATTCCTCCCCATCCGCTGCCGGACCAAACCCTAACCACTTCACTCCACTCCCCTCCGCCACTCAAACTCGTCTCCGACGACTTCTGGCCGTCTCTGACATGGCGGGCAGCGGGATCTGAGTCCTTCACCTCCCGATCCGTCGACCCTGAGCTCATCTCACGCGGCCCCAAGGAGGAGATGGCCATCCGGCTTGCGCTCCATCGCGCCCAGGAGGAGGCCCGTCATGACTGCGCTCGGACTTCTTCCGTCGGGAATCCATTGCGTTCGCCCAAATGGCGCATGGATCCGGCGCTGGGCCGGCCGTAGCTGCCTCGCCGGAGGTCGTGCGGTCTGTCTAGCGTCCGAGCGTAGTGGCGGACGCACAACCCCTCCGTTGACGCGCCGAGCATCGGGACGCACTATGATCCTCGTCCGACGAGGCCATGACACGCCGTGCCTGCCGTGCATGGCACCGGGCGTGCGAGGCGACGACATCCCTCGCGGCGGTGGACATCAGCGAGGCGGAGTCGCATTCTTCGGCGCCCCGCATGGCGCATCAGTCCGGACGCCGCAACCGCATCGTGGTGGATGTCTACGACTCGTCCCAAGACGGATCCGTTCGGTTTCCGGGCTCCGATGAGGAACAGTAGGGCATAGGAGGTGGTGGTGCCTTGAGTTCCATGAACAGGCTTGTGTCCCATGGCCTACTCTACCTTGTCGGCGACCGGAGCAACACTCTGAGGAGCGTAGCCAGCCGCGGACATGACCAGGACGGAGCCCGGCGAGCGGGAAGCGAAACCGGACAAAGCTCCGCTCAAAGATCTCTGCGTTGCATGTAATAATATAAATTCAAAATTTCTAATTTGAAGTATCCAAATGTGAAATGCATGTTTTGAGACGTGACGGGTCACCGTCAGTGGACACGCAGACGTGTCCGCGGTTAGATGCCGGCTGTAGATGCTCTTAGAACCCCGAGTAGAAACTGAACCCGGAAGCGGCACAGCTCGCCGGAAACCCCATCCCGTGTTCGTCGCTAATCCCCATTTCCCACAAACCCCCGTCCCCTCGCTGCGCAGCCCAACCACTCCGCCCCCTTCGAGTGCGAGAAGCTTCGAGGAGCTAGGGTTTCCCGCACCGATCGATGGCCGTCGCCGACGCGGTGCTTCCCTCGCCGCCGACGCCGCCGCCCCCGCCGGCGCGGATCGTCGTCGTGATGCTGCTGCTCTTGCGCTTCGCCCGCGTCCTCCGCGTCGCGGCGGGAGCCCTCACCTACGTGTGCTCGGCGGTCGCGTGTGTCTCCACCGGGGCCGCGGCTGCGCTGCTCGTCGCGCACCGCGCCTGGGGCACGCGCTCCGGCCCCTTCCTGTTCCTCCAGGCGCTCATGTACGGGGGCCTCAAGGTTTGCGTCCTCAGCGTCCTTGCGTCGCTCGCGCTTGCCGTCCTGATGGTGTGCGTCCAGCGCGTGGCATACGAGATTGCAGTTCGAACTGGATCCATTTCGGAATACAATAAGGTATCGTGCGAATTAACAACTCCCTGTGATCTTTATTCCGGTCCAATTGCAGCAGCACATAGGCAAGTGTTATGATTATGATCTTCGGAGTAATTCAGTTGCCATATACTTATATTGTTGTCAAATTAATGTCGTGCTTCAGGTTGTCCTGAACTCCTGATGAGCAGTAGTAGTTTTTTTCCATGTGTGTTCATCACTTCATTTGCATCCTACCATTTCTGAACCATTCAATATATACTAAGTATGGTTTTGTTGAAATTGCTCTCCTCCTCAGAGCCGCTTCGTATCAATCAAGCGGGAGCCGCTTTCACACTTGTTTTGGCTTCCGCGCACTGCGGTGCTTGGAGTGGCCGTGGATGTGGCTTTCTTCCTGCTAACGGTCGCTGGTCTTCTGGTAGCAACGATGTCACCGCACGTGGAGGGTTCGAAATCTCATGGTCAAATGGCCGGTTCGGTGATCATGGAAGTGGGGTTATTTGGTATGCTCGTGACAGCTTGCTTTGTTACCATCCCAGCGCTCATTCTTCATGCCTGGAGGAGGGACCAGGCGGAATGGAAAGCACGACCACAGTGTTGTTGAGGTATAGCTCCCCCTTTGCTTTGCTCCCCTGTTTCTGTGAGCCATATGATCATTTCTATTATTATCTGCATATTTTGTTGTAGCCTCCTAATAGCATGAAAACAGTCCTCCAGTGCTTTTAATTACTGCCTACTGGTGTTGATATTTGTTAAGATGGAGAATCATTGTATATAAAACCAATAATAAGGTTTTTGCTATTTCCTTTGCTCATTGCATACTAAATTGGGACTGGCATCGATCTTAAATTGTGCAAGTAGCCAACGAATGCAGTTCTGCCATATGCGTTTGTTATGAAGTGCTGATAATAAAAATGATCAGTTGCACGTATTAGAAAAAAGCAAATTAATTGCCTATGGTCCATCGTTCACTGTGATCATTGTATATTTGCAGCGAGTGAGATATAACAATGTTTGCATGCTTCCAAACTGTTTGCAAGCACCTTTCTTGAGTTTTCTTGTCATTGCTAATTTCTCCATTGAAACCAATGGAAAAACCCAAAGTTTTGAAGTTTTGGCTATGCATACGACTTACGAGTCTACACTTCTTAGCTGCATTTGGCATTTATGACTTTGTACCATGTTCCCTCACTCTGGTTAAAAGAAGTGAACTGTTTTTTTCAGGAGTACGCAAATTGCATACCATAGTTTTATAGAAGGCAGAGGTAAATGTAGAAGAAATATCCAAGCCACTCACACCACAAGCCGGTGCAAGAGCAAAGAGAAAACTCTTAACTCCTAAAACCATACACTACTCCTCACAGAAATGTTGAACTTTTCTAGCTCCAGCGAGAGCCCACAACTTGAGCTCTTGAAAGATTTTTTAAGCCGATACCCATTTGGATACCGTGTCATGCCTACTAAACACTCGTCCATTCCATTGCTTCCAAATACTCCAACACACAATAGTGATCATCGAATCAAACCCTTTCCTGTACCTTTTAGGAATGTGTTTGCGATTAGAGCTCCACCAAGATTCAAGACAATCCGTCACCGTCGGCAGCAGCGCCAAATCAATCCTCGCCCTTCTGAAGCAAAGATACCATACCTGGTGGGAGTAGATACGTTGCAGCAAAATATGGTCCACAGTATCCCCTTATTGATCACATAGAAAACACGATTAGCTCTGATCCTGCAAACCGTGCCTCAATCTCCAATCCGAGGTCCACAAGTCGATATTGCAGCGCAAGCTACATAAATATCTTACATGACAGGGGAGCCCAAGGTGTACTGCCCCTGAACGTTCCACTTCCATATCGCAACATCTTCCAGTGCCAGATGAATTGCACTACCCCATCGGTAGAGAGCTCTCCCACAATGTCAGATGCCCAGCTGTGATCATACAGACCCTCTTTAACTGATCTGCGACTGATCACCTGGGTCCGGACATGCACCACGACAATTGGCGTAATTTCCGCCAACCTAGCACCATTAATCCAACGGTCTCTCCAGAATAAAATTCGATCCCCAGCTCCCACCTGCCAATGCACCAAACTGTCGAACGCCTCCTGGACCCGAGGATCAGGGGGCATGTTCAATCCCTTCCAGGGTCTAGTATCGTCCGTGCACTTCAACCATTCCGAACGTAGGCGCAGCGCAATACCTTGCCTCCTGAGATCAATCACTCCCAAGCCTCCGAGGCATTTTGGCCTACAAACACGTGGCCACTTCACCTGGCAATTCCCGCCATGGATTTCTTCTGTCCCAGCCCAAAAGAAGGCCCTGCAGCCCTTGTCAACACGATCAGACGCCCACTTCGGAGCGTCTGCCACAATCAGGTGATGCGTAGGACGGGTTCTGATAACATTTTTCACAAGGATCAGCCGTTCTGGCCTGGTGATCAAACCTCTCTGCCATCCTGGAAGTAATCACAGCACCGAATCAACTACTGGTTGCCACTCCGACCTCGTGAGCTGTAGCCCCAAATATTTGCATGCAAAAACTTCCATCTTCCACTGCATCACCGCAGCCACCGCCTCCCTCTTCCACATGGATCATAATGACCGATGACTTGTTGAAGTTCACTTGAAGAGCCAAAGCAGCTCCATAAATGCGTAGAGATTCGTGGACACACAGCAAATCGATCGCCCACGGCCAGACGAATAGTACTACATCATCCGCATAAATAGAGTCTCTAGAGAGGTGAGCATCCTGCAATGCACCGAGCACTCCACATTCGTGCTCTCGGGCGACCATGGAGGTCAAGGTGTCCATGGCGATCACAAAAAGGAGGGGTGAGAGCAGATCTCCCTGACGAAGCTAGCCACGTGCGTGGATGAATTTCGCCCCACCCGAGCCATTTACCACCACTCGAGAGCTAGCCGTTGTGAGCAGGGTAGCAACCCAAGCTCTCCAGATCTTTGAGAATCCTTTAGCTCGCAGCACCTCGAACTGGAAGGGCCATGACAGAGAGTCAAAAGCGCGAGATATGTCTAACTTAAGCAGCACACCCTTGGCCTTCCACTTGTGCAACTTCCTCGCTAACTGCCGGACAAGCATGAAATTATCATCTATATTTCTCCCTTTTATGAACGCTGGTTGGTTCACCATTACTAGATCTTCCATACGTCAGCTGAGTCTCACCGCGAGCAATTTAGCGCATATCTTCGGTATACTGTGAACCCAGCTAATCGGATGAAAGTCAACGATCGTGCATGCATCCGGCTTTTTTCGAATCAGTGTGATCAGGGCTTAATTTAATCAGCCAAAACTGCGGCCGTTATCGAGAAACAGCTTATGAATTGCTGCCATGACATCTCCTTTATTTAATGATCACCCACACCTTCTGCTAGAACAAGCCAAAGAAACCATCGGGGCCAGGTGCGCAATCTGCTGGCATCTCCTTGATTACCGCCCAGACTTCCTCTTCAGAGAAAATCAGCTCTTGATCACTAAGATCCACCTGGGCAATGTCAAGGAAATCCAAATCAAGAGCATGCTCTCTTGCCTGTGCTGTTCCCAGGAGATTCTTGTAAGCAGTATGAGATAATTCCTCTTTTCTGCGTTGATCCGTAATGGTGTTAGGGTAATTGCCGGTATCATTTTTTTTTGTTTTACTCCCATTGGCAATAAGATTGAAAAACTTTGTATTAGCATCTCTATCACTGAGCCATCTAATACGCGAGCTCTGTCTCGTGATCATACGCTCAAGCGATGCAAAACCCAGCACTAGCTGCTTCAACGTGCGTCTCAACAACCTCTCCGCCTAGAGAGATCTCCATTTCTGAGCACAATCGAGGCGCAAAATCACATAATTTGCGACGGCGATCTGCAGCTTCACATTACCAAAGCGCTTTTGTCCCCAAGCCGTGAGATAGCGCGCTGTGTTTCTCAATAGCAAATCCAAGCGCTTGAACGTGTCAGTGATGGTTGTGTCGCAGACCCACGCCTCTTTGACCGCCTCCTATAAACCCTCAAGTTTTGCCCAGGAAATCTCGAACATGAAGCGGTGCCTTGGTTGGATGCGTTCACTCAGAGCCAAATGAAGCAGACAATGATCAGAGTACGCCGTGGATAGCGTCTGAAGGAAACAGTCCGAATGCTCCAATTCCCAATCCACTGGGACAAAAACTCTGTCAATCTTGATAAGCGTGGGTGATTCCCTCTCGTTACTCGACGTGAACCTGTGCCCATGCAAGTACAGCTCTTTGAGGCCATCGTCATCAACGAACTGCTTGAATCTTCCCATCACTCTTCAGTCTAGGTAAGCATTATTCTTGTCAGATGCGTGTAGAATCAGGTTAAAATCCCCTAACACCAACCATAGGCCAGGGCAAAGCTGGCGGTGAGCCGAGAGCTCCTCCAGGAACTGCATCTTCTCCTGATCCTCTTGGGGTCTGTAAACAACCAAAAGCCACCAAGGTGCACCCTCCGATGGCGAAACATAGCCCGTGATGAAGTTTGTATCATTCACAAAGTTAGAAATCTGTAGCATGGAGGAATTCCAGGTGATAAGGACCCCTCCCTTAGTCTCGCATGCAGGAAAGTAATCATAACTACATAAGACGACCCAAAACATTCCATAATAGTGTACTGGTCGATCACCGCCAGTTTAGTCTCCTGGATACAGAAAATTGCAGCATGTAATGAGTCAGCAAACTCCTTAAGCGCCTTCCTCTTTCCTGGACTGTTAAGCCCCCTATCATTGCAGCAAACAATCTCCAGGTTAAGGCCTGACATAATGGAGAGCGTGTCTCCATTGCCATCATCCAACAGCCTATGCTGATACCAACAGCCTATGCTGACACTGCCAGTGTCAGATCTCATCCACTCCGAGATCGATGGGGATAGCTTTCCCAAAGATAGAAAAGTAAACTGTTTGACCAAACGATCAGTTTTTTTTTTTTGACCAAACGATCAGTTACTTTTACATATTAGGAAAAAGCAATATTAATTGCCTACGCTCCATCGTCCCCTGTGATCATTGTATCTTTGCAGCGAGTGAGATTATAACAATGTTTGCATGCTTCCAAACTGTTTGCAAGCACCTTTCTTGAGTTTTCTTGTCATTGCTAATTTCTCCATTGAAACCAATGGGAAGACCCAAGGTTTTGAAGTTTTGGCTATGGCATACGAGTCTACTCTTCTTGGCTGCATTTCGCATTTATTACTTTTTATCGTGTTCCGTGACTCTGGTAAAAAGAAGCGAACTGTTTGATCATCACCTCCAGTCCTTTTAACAATTATCAACTTCTATGTGACTACATTTTGGTAGAATTGCCATTGTGCCTTTGTCTGCTGTTCTGTGACTCAGTTTAATGCGTTTATACTTCAGTAAAAATAAGTAAACTTTTTGATCATGTACATAAATAACATGATAGTAAATGTATGCACATCTAGTACTTACATAAATAACATTACATGACAGTAAATGTATGCACATCTAGTACTTACATAGATAACATGACAGTAAATGTATGCACATCTAGTACTTTCATAAATAACATGACAGTAAATGTATGCACATCTAGTACTGTAAGGTTGTGCTATGCAACTACATTTTGGCAGACGTCCGTTTGAGATCAGTTAATATCTAATGTTGCAAGTTCATATCATCAGTTGTGTGTTTGTTAGCACTACCAATTGAAAGGATGAGAAAGATTCGAATTCTATAATATCTCACAAGATAGAAGTTACTTCATTGCTGCAAAATGAGTGGCATGGGCTTTAGATTTATAGTACTTGAAAGTTGAAAATATACTATTGGATGCTTAATGTTGATATGACAATGTTCTTTTATGAAGGTGTTCGGAGAATTTGGCAAGGAGCTACAGTGCCCATTCCGCTGATGGTTGTGAGTGATCTCAACAGATACAAGTTTTCAGAGGAAAAACAGCCTTTGCAGAATTGCTTCTTTCTACTATTAGTAGATCCTGATCGTCATTAGCCATGGGAACATTTGTAGACTTGCTTATTTCTGATATTACTAGACTGTAATCATCAATAGCTGTGAAGTTTGTGGGTCATTATGGATCTGGTGATGATGTTCGATGCTACTCCGGGCTACTTGCTTACAAGTTTGTTGCACTGGAGTATTGGTGTATACATGATGGTAGAATTTGTGTCCTGTTTGTAATACCCTGTTGGAAGAAAATGCTTCCGTTCCATGAGACATTAACCTGGTAATGAATTGGTATAACTGCGGTCCGTTTGCATTCTTATGTTGTATGCATCAATGCATGGTCGTAACGTTCTGCAAGCGGGCTATGTATGCGTTGCCATTTCGAAGATCCTTGTGGTTATGTTTATCATGGGTGGTTATCTACCGCCATCGTGGTCGTTGGCTCCTCTGCTAGAATGTTAACCTGCTGTTATGCTTGTGTTGTCGTTTTCATCCTCGTATTGCGGCCACTGAACTTCGTCAACGTTTTTAATGTTATGATGATTAATGCTATGTCAAGAGATACAAATTTGCAATCAGTGTTGGATATTTGGTAAATAAATTTGCATTGAATATCTATGTTACACAGACGAGCTGAACCATTAAGAGGGCGCGCTAGACCGGTTTGTTCATTCATCAATTTGTTATTTTGAATTTGACAACAAAATGCATGTATAAATCGAAGAAGCCCTCCTTTAACATAGAACCATTAGGGTAGCCCAATGCATGTAGCTCCCGCTTTGTGCAAGGTCTGAGGATGGCCCAACCACTTTGGGTCTTTTGCTTGCAGTCTTAATCTGCATTTTTGCAAGAGGTTGTTTACAGGACTCAAACCTGTGAGCGTGACCTCATGGCCATAAGGCGACATCTTTATCGCCATGCCAAGGCTCCCCTTCATCCTTTCACTTCCATTTTTACTAAAATTCAACCGACTGAATTTCCATTTCGTTCCTAGTAGAATTCCCGATCATTGAATCTCGTCGGTAGGGATGCAAGCGAGCATCCCGCATAAGCCCTCAAAAGATGGGAGCTGGTACAAATTGAACTATAGCGCTGAAAATATGGCAGAACTAATCTGACTAGTTTTGAGTACGAAGCGGGACGGATACGGGTGCTAGATCCATACTCGTCGACAATCTCAACATGCGTTGTCTGTCGTGGATGAGGTGTCTGCTTGCCTTTGTTCTGTGTAGTTGAAAATGGTCACATACTTTATCCAATTTTCTTTTGTCTACGTTAACATCTAAAAGCACTTCTCAGATATGCATGATGGACTGTGGTCCATAGCGTCAATTTTTCAGTACATTACGTTGAACTGCAACTGTATTTTTTTTAATCTAGTTATTGCTTGTGTTTTGCATTTGAAACCGGTTATTCATCAAAATCTATTTCCAGAAGGAAGGATCTATCAGGACTTTCAGTTGCTTCTGACAATATTGTCTTTTTTCCTTTCAAACCGTTTTTCATGGAAATTTACCTAATTATGCAATCATAATATGTACTTCAAACTAAACAAATTGGGTTCTGACCATTTCCCCCCTGAATTTTTCAACTTCAAACTGAGGATCCTGATGGAGTTTTAAAAAAAAATTCAAAGACCCTAACTCAAACTAAACTCTTATTATTTTGTTCGAAAGAAAATTCGGTAGTAACAAATTTAAACATTTGCCCGGTGGCTTGAACAAGAAACTCGGTAATTCTTATAAAAAAAAGGGTGAAATTCGATAGTTGTGCAGGATCGAATCGGGCACTCACCATTTCCACACACCCGGTTAGAGCCCGAGTCCGCATCCGCTAGTAGAGAGGAAATGGGTTAGAGCTGAACCCGGTAGGGAAGCGGGACAGCTGGCCGCAAAACCCCCTCCCCTGTTCCTCGCCAATCCCCATTTCCCACAAACCCCCGTCCCCTCGCTGCGCAGCCCAACCACTTCACCCCCACCGAGTGCGATCGAGAAGCTTCCAGGAGCTAGGGTTTCCCGTACCGACCGATGGCCGTCCCCGACGCCGACGCGGTGCTGCCGCCGCCCCCGCCCCCGCCGTTGCGGATCGTCGTCGTGGTGCTAGCGCTCGTGCACTTGGCCCTCGCCCCGATGCTGGCGCTCGGGGGCGTCCTCTGCATCGCGGCGGGAGCCCTCCCCTACCTGTTCTTCGCGGTCGCGTGGGTCATCTCTGCGGCCACGGCTGGACAGATCGTGGCGAGCCGCGCCTGGGGCGAGAGCTCCGCCCAATTCGTGTTCCTGCAGGCCATCATGTACTGGGGCCTCAAGGTCCTCATCTACAGCATCCTTGTGCTGGTCGCGCTTCTCGTCCTGTTGATGTGCGTGGACTACGTGATTGCAGTTGTATCTGGATCCACTTCGGCATTCAAGAAGGTATCGGGCTAATTAAATCCTTGTGATGTTTATTCCGGTCGAATTGCAGCAGTACATAGGCAGTGTTATCATTATGTTCTAATTAAGTTGCCATATATATTATGCTAGTAATTAATTTCGTAGTTCAGGTTGTCCAGATGAGTGGTAGTACTAGTTTATTGTGCAAATTGACTCCCTGTGATCTTTATTGTGGTAGAATTACAGCAGTAATGCAGTACATACGCTAGTGGATAAGCCCTGTGTTAGCATTATGTTCTAACTAAGTTTCCATACACAGTTAAGGTTGTCCTGATCAGTGGTACAAGTTTTTTCCATGTGTGTTCATGTTCATCACTTCATTTGCATCCTTCCATTTCCGAACCATTCCGTACATACTCATGTTCATCCCTGTGGTTTTATTGAAATTGCTGTCCTCAGAGCGCATCAGGAGCATTCACGCGGGAGTCGGTTGCAGACATGTTTAGGCTTCCGCGCACCGCGGTGCTTGGATATGTTGCGGATGTGGCCTTCTTCCTTCTAATGGTCGCTGGTCTTCTGGTGGCGATGCTGTCGCCGCACGTGGAGGGTTCGATATCTCAGGGTGAAATGGTTGCCTCCGTAATCATAGATGTGGCACTATTTGGTATGCACGCGACAGCTTGCTTTGTTATCATCCCAGCGCTCGTTCTTAGTGTGTGGAGGGGTGGCCAGGCGGACAGGAAAGCGCCATCGCAGTTTTGTTGAGGTATACTACTCCCTTTGCTTTGCCCCCTGTATCTGTGAGCCATATGATCTTTCCAATTATAATCTGCATATTTTGCGTATCTTCCTCATAGCATGAAAACAGTCCTCCAGTGTTGTTGATTACTGCCTAGTGCTGTTGATATTTGACTATTTGTTAAGATGGAGCATCGTTGCATATAAAACCAATCTTAAATCTTATGCTTTTGTTAGGAAGTGATGATAGTAAAAACGATCAGTTCTATGTATTAGAAAAAAGCAAATCATTTGCTTATGCTTCATTGCCCACTGTGATCGTTGTATCTTTTGCAGTGAGTGAGATTATAACAATGTTTGCACGCTTCCAAACTGGTTGCAAGCACCTTTCTTGAGTTTTCTTGTCATTGCTAATTTCTCCATTAAATCTGATGGGAAGACCCAAAGTTTTGAAGTTTTGGCTATGGCATACGAGTCTACTCTTCTTAGCTGCACTTGACATTTATGACTTTATACCATGTTCCGTCACTCTGGTAAAAAGGAGTGAACTGTTTGATCATGTAAATAAATAACATGACGGTAAAATGGCACACCTCTAGTCCTTGTAACAATTATTAACTTTTATGTGCCGCCATGCACAATACATTTTGGTATAATCGACATTGTGCCTTTGCGCTCTGTCCTGTGACTCAGTTTAGTGCTTTTATACTTTATTAGTAAAAGAAAGTAAACTGTTTGATCATGTATGTAAATAACATGACAGTAAATGTATGCATATCTAGTACTTTAAGGTGGTGCTATGCCACTACATTTTGGTAGACGTCCCTTTGAGCAGTTAATATCTGATGTTGGAAGTTCATATCAGTTGTGTGTTTGTTAGCACTACCAATTGAAAGGACGAGAAATATTCGAATTCTCACAAGATAGAAGTTACTTCATTGCTGGAAAATGAGTGACATGGCCTTTAGATTTACAGTACTTGAAATTACACTGTTGGATGGTTAATGTTGATATGGCAATGTTCTTTTATGTGGTAATCTGATGAAATCTTGGGTTGGGTTATTGGCAGATGAAGCTAAGAAGAGAAGGTGTCCGGGGATTTTGGCAAGGATCCTAATCGTCATTCTACTGATGGTTGTGAGTGATCCCAACAGATACAAGTTTTCAGAGGAAAAAGAGAGTTTCTGCAGACTTGCTTCTTCTATTAGTAAATCCTAATCGCCATTAACCATGGAAACTTTTTTAGACTTGCTTATTTGCGCTATTACTAGATCGTAATCGTCAATAGCTAGCCGTGAAGTTTGGTGGGTCATTATGGGTCTGGTGACGATGTTTGGTGCTACTCCTCCGGTCTCCTTTGTGATACCCTATTGGAAGAAAACGCTTCCATGAGACATTAGTCTCGTGCATTCACTGCCGTCGATTTGGATTTTTATATGTTGTATGCACGGTAGTAACGTTTTGCAAGTGCCAATTGGGTTATGTATGCGTTGCCATTTCGAATATCTTTGTAGTTATCAGGGGGGCCATCTACTGCACTAGAGTATTGCAGTTTCCATCCTCGTGTTGGCTGCTTAACTTCGTCATATTTTTTTTAACATTATGATGATCAATGGTACCACCAGAGATGCAGATTTGCAACCGTGTCCAATATTTAGTACTCCTAAAGTTTGCATCGAATATATGTTCAGGTCTGTTACAGGGACGAGTCTGAAGTTTTAGGTTTGATGGTGGTCTTGGTAACATCGGCAGCAGTCTGCCGAGAGGAAACGGGGCTCTTCCGTAGAGCCTCCGCGACGGTGGTCCAAAGATTGATGACACCTGAGTGTTTGGAGGCAGC